AACAACAGAAAAAACTGCTTTATTTCCTGCATGAAAGACCTTTGGGTAAGAACAACGGGAATGTTCTACCGGGAAGAACAATAGGAAAGTCCTGCGGCTGGGAGGGAAAATAGAGAATCCGTCGACACAACTTTTCAGAGAAGGGTCGCCTGTGAGAGGGAGAGCCGGCCTACGGAGGTTCGAGAAAAATCTTTCCGGGAGAGGTCACCATTGAAAGGGTGGCAGTAATCCATGGTTGGTTGCCCATGCGATATACTCTCGACAAGGTTCTCAAGGACGTCACTCTAAATGCGCTCCAGTCTCGCAACAAGAAGGTTTGAGGTTGGAATCCAGGGATCAACTCTTCAGCAGAGGGAGATCCGGCGGTTGGAACTACCTGCCAGAAGGATCGACGACATTAACGTTTAGAAAATCGGTAGGGAAGATGGGAACCAACGGTAGTTTGGGTGAAAAATGACGACAGCTAGGGGAACCATCGACTATAGATCTACACGATAGATATGCAATAGTTCTTTATGAGAAAAAAATTGTTGGGCATCCAACAACAGAAAAATTCCCACGAAATAGATCTCTACAGGAGGAAAATGGCCAGGAAGAAAAAAATGCTGGGAAACTACTGCTTGCTTTTTGGAGGCCTGCAGAGTTGAAGCTCCCAGCTTGGAAGGACTAGCTGACAAGCAAAGCTTGCAGGGTGAGAAGAAGTAAAATTTGCTGTTTCAAATATCTATTTGATTAAATTATGATTGTTTTTAAAAATATGCAAAACATCTAAAAGTTGTTTCTGAGTGTTTTCAAAAACATGTTAATTTATTTTTAAAAATAACACACTAAACAAATATATTTTTAAAAATAGATGAAAAAAAAATAAAAAATAAAGTTGATCCCAAACAAGCCATATTTAATTGGCTTTGGTATTGTGGTGATTAATGAGAATCGCATTACTATTAAGCAGTTAACACGATCTTGTAGATATCAACATTCTAAAAGTTATCATTTCTTACAAATTCAAATTATGTGTATTGATATTGATTAGTTGTCACTGTTTTAGTTTTCAGATTTGTAGTTTGAATTTTAAAACATGTATATTGATATTGATGCCAATAAGATCTTAATGTGTTCTCTGCTGATTTAGTTACCTCATTAGGTTTTGGACTTTTGCAGCAAAGTGTTTCAATTCAACTGTTGAACTTCTTAGTTCAGTTATTTAATTTCGTTTTTCATCATTTTACTCGTTTCTATTTTTTCATCCACAAAGTTGGAAGTTTGTTATTGTCATCATTGATTTGGTAAGATATTATTATTGTTGATTTGGTGAACTGTTAGCCAATGTGTTTGTCACACCTCAACTGACCCCCTTTTTAGGGTTAATTGCGGTGCAACAGCGGCGGATGATTTGATTAGATTAAATTCCCACTGCACTCGCCTTGATTTGCATAATCAGGATCTAGTGGAGGATGAACTGGTCACTAAATTGCCGCCGTTGTACATAATACATTTCGTTTTACAATTCATTCATATTTATATACTTAGAAACATGAAACATTATATCACTAATATACACACGGGGTTGCTAAATCCAAAATAATAAAAATATTTAAAAGTCTGTACTAGCTTCCAAAACTCTATAATATTAAAGTTGGACACTTGACACCTAGCTGCTATCCCTGATGCTCCTCATCTCTTTGTGAAAGTCAGTAACATAGAGTGAGCTATAACAAGCTCAACGAAATAATTAAGATTAAATAAAGATTTTATAAATGAAAAATAAACAATGCACATGATCATATGTAGCTCATGTATATGTCCACAACACATATCGTAATATGTTATAATTGTATAAAATATGTAGAAGAGGAGACATATAATGCATAGAATTATATCAGTTGTATAAAACATGATTTCATTGACATATCATGATAATCATATGAATGCCACTTGTAATTGAATAAAACTCAAATATTTTCATGTCATTGGGTCGTTACTTAGCTCGTAAGCTATAAAATTATTGATAAAGGTTGGATCCCTCTTAACATAGTAGTTATCTATAACCTCCTTAATACTCTATATTCTGTCTCTTATGATCACTACTGTTCCCGGAGTTTTGTGTTTGTAATGACAAAAATTGGGTATCCCATTGTTCCCTATCGTCTGTACTTGCAAATATTCATGTAATAGTCTGCATATAACATCATTTATGATATTTTTTAAATCATAATTCTCGTAGCAACTATTTATCATAGACATTTCATATATCATATGCATGAATCAGAATAAATGAATACCTGTAAGCAATAATTCCATAAACATGTTTATCAGAATTATAACATAGTAATATCATAAGTATCATAAGTGACAAATTAAGTTTGCTTTCATACATCGTATGTAAATATTTATCCACAATATGCATGACATCTTAAATGCAATTGTGTCAGATATAAGCACATGAGCACATATAAAGAGTTATTTTTCTTTAGTTAGCATGAGATTATTTCACTCGAATTAACGGACCAGTCCTACGATGAATTTCCCCAAGCTCGGCTCGAGCTCGCCGACTAGTGCAAACAACCTGAATTTTGTAAACGTCGAGGATTTTCAAGAATTCTCGACTTATATCATGATTTAACCATAATCAAAATTTTCTTACCTCAAATAGGCTTCTCGGCATAATCAACTCTTCTCTGATACTTCCTATTCCTCTTTCTCATTCCTTTCTCTTTAATCCTTCCCTGCGACTCGTGACATAAATCTACTGGAGAGTGCGGCTCTTTCTTTGCCAGTCCCTTGGTTGTTCCTGCAAAGCTACAACAATTAGGAACACGTGGAATGCCTTAATTTGTGAAAAATATCAAAACGGAAATGCAGCGAAGGAAATGAATGCCTGAAATATAATGAAAAGTAAGGTTTATACACGCTGTCTTTCTCTCGGAGCTCCCAGCTGAGAGCTGGAACTCTCGACCTAGCCGCTTGCCCCGCCTTGCTTTAGTCCTGGGTCGCAGGGCCCTTCAGACGAGCAAAGATTGAAGGTGGGAGGGGAGAATTGAAGGGAAGTGCCACATTTAAGTTGGATTCTGATAAATCCCAGCCATTTGATCTTATCCAACAATGACATGCACGATTTAATGCAGGAGAGGAAGTTGGCTAGGAATAGTGCTGATGATACCGGAGTTAACCCAAACAACTATAGACAAGCAAATATTATTACTAATAAGGCCAATAAACAATTACAACTGACACATCTGAAAGGAAAATAACAAACTCAACAATCTAACTCAAAATAGGGTGGATTTCGAGGTGGTGGTGATTGGTGAGGAGTGGAAATTTGATGTATATTGGACGAGTTGGTTGGCAAGTAGAAAACAACAAGACAACAATTTTCTGGGTTCTAGACAACAAGTACACAACAAATATTGACCGGGATGACAGCATTTGGGAGGGGCTGGGACAATGGCTAGGAGGCGGTGATGTGGTTCAAAATGGCTGGAACAACAATCAAGGATGCAGAGGGGTGTTTCTTATGGGCTTGGACAATGTCTAGGTGGCGGTGAAGTGGTTCAAAATGGCTGGAACAACAATCAAGGATGCAGAGGGGTGTTTCTTATGGCCGGAACAGTAGCAAGGCAGCAAGGAAACTGGATATGAGTGGCTGGAAAATCAACTAAGAGAGGTTGTTGGAAAGCAGAAATTGCAGAAAAAAACTCAAAAGAGGATGGAAAGCAGAAACTACAGAAAAAACCCAAAAGAGACTGTTTCGAGTGGCTGCAGCAGGGAAGAGGTGGCCGCAAGCGATTTGGGAGGATGCAGAAGGGTATAGGGGAAGATAATCACCACCTCGAGAGATACAATTGGAGCACCACCATTCCCTCAAATACAACTCTCGAAGGGAGAAATGGGCATCAGCAATTGTCCTAAATAAACTCACACAAAAATTAAATCTAAAACATCTATAATCCAAATAAATAATAAGAGAGGATAACTAGGATTTGCCAAGAAGAATGACTAACTCCTCGAAAAGGAGAAAACCTGGACCGGTTTGGTCTAGGCGAAAGAATGGGTCACACAAAAACGATATGTGCGTGGTGCGATCTGACTTCCGTGATGCGGATCGTGTGGGAGACACTTTGGTCGCGGGGCTTCCTGCATCACACATCAATTATCATTCGCTGAATTCCATGAACTCTCACGTTAAGGCTTCAATTGCGGGTTTTGCGTGTCCCGCTCCGCGTCAGCCGGGGATTTGGGATTAATTAAGGGTTTATTTAAGTTTAATTATATTTTTATATCATAATTTTTTATCTTCTCATATGTTTAAAATTCATACATGGTGCTATGTATCCAATTGATCGATTCAAGATGTAGACTTTTATAAAATTTCATTGGCCAAATTCGGGGAATGCTAAATTTGGGATATACTTTACAATTATCAAATATTTTTCTGTTTTCTCAAAATTGGGTGTACACTGTAAATTGGGTGTTACAATGTCAAAGACTCCAAAAATATCTCACACGGGCATAACTCACTTAAGTCTTTTTGAAGTGTCCATGCTTTATAGTAGAGTTGAAAACTGATTTCTGTACAAAGAATTAGGGATCAGCATTTGCCAAATGGATTTAAAAGTTGTTTTCAGCTTGAGATAACACATGTTTATATTTAATTTTTTATATTTGTTTATTTCATGTTTGTGAGGCTTTATTATAGTGTTTGTTGGATGCATTCTGGCTAAGAATTAACTGTTGGCCCGTGCACTTACTTTGGCATTTACATTTTGAAGGGATTCATGATAGTTATTGCCAACTTTAAGTGGAAAGAAATCATAGCCAACAAAGGAGATACTTTACACACAAAATTTTGCTTTTAAGATGGCTTTCTTTTATTCTGTCATCATAAATTTTCAAGACAGCGAACTTACTAGAATTTTTTAAAGTTTTTAAGTAGCTTATTATTATTATTATTGTTGTTGTTGTTGTCTCTTACTTCTCTGTTATTTTTTGTATATTAACAGCTGTTCCAGGCAGTATGGAAATTGATAAGGAGGTCTCTATTAGTTATGGAAATAAGGGAAATGAGGTTCTTTCCATTCCCTTCTTTTTACCAATGATGATTCCTGCTATTAGGTGCCATTTATTTTAACTCTATAGGCATGTAGAAGATTAAATCTTATGTTTACTCCAACTGTTACCTTGAATGCGTTGGTTTAGTTTATTAGCTATTTCTCTTTCACTACTAGTTTTGAATTATTGTAGAATCAGGTACATAAAATTTTGAGTTAGATACGGCGATAAGCTTTGATTGTTTTAAATCGTCTTCAAATAATAAATACCGCTTTGACTCTCATGTTGCCATCTTTTTACATCTAGAAGAAGTATCCATTATTTTTAATACTTTGTGGTAGGCAGGACTCGCAAAGGTTATATTATATATTAAAGGAGGCTCTTTTTATTTTGGATCACCTACACTTTACACTGCAAGTTTTACATCTTAGTTTGTCAGTCCACAAACTTTCAAGCCTTTACATAAGCTTTCAACCTCCGACTATTTTGTTATCTTGTCTCAGGGAAGAAAATACTAATAGCTTGATTTCCCTTTCACATTAGAAAATGCCCACTAAACCCAGAGATCCTGTTATGATGGCCAACAATACGTCAGAATCCATCAGAGGAAAATATTAGTGAAGATCAGATATATTTTGCATTGGCATTTAGGTTATAATGGTCGCTATTTAGTGAAATAATGCAGCACACAAGGGTTTTTTTGACAAAATCATAATGGTGCTCCATTCCAATGGCTTAATAAAAGGCCTTAGAAAAAGGACAGTATCTATAAACAATTTGTAGTAGTTAGCCTATAAATTTTGTATTTTGATACTTTGTGGACTACAATGTAAGGTGTCCCTAAGTTCTGGGCTCTTTTTTTCAGAAGTTCTGACTACTAACTTTTGTATTTTGCAACTTCTTTCTAAGTGTATGATCTGGTCTTCCTTCAATGACATGATTTTTTGTTTTTTATCACTTGTCAGGAGCTTTTATACCTTTATGGTTTTATCATTGACGTTAATCCAAGCGACTATCTTATGGTGAGACCCACCTATATTTCTTTTACTAAATATATGGTTCATGTCTGCATTCCTTTCAATTAGCTTATGCATTTGCGTTTCTTTTTAGCATCGTAATTTATTATTTATGCCATACGATTTGAAGTTTTTGTGCTATTGGTTTCTTGTAGGTTCACTGTCCTTTAGAGCTCCTTCAGAACGCACCATTGTCTGAAAACAAGGAAAAACTCTTAGAATTACAGGTAGCTTGTTGGATGAACCGTATTTTCTTTTGTACCTAAAATGCTATGGATGATATATATTTTGTTCCCAATATAAATTAGTATATGACAATGATATAACTTTCATATTATTGCTTTTAGTAGGGACTGGTATAAATGTGATGCTATATATGGTATTTTTTTGTGGCAAATTTTGAGTTAACAATGCATGATTCCATGTTATAGCATTGTATCATGCATCTAAAATCCTCTTGCATGCCCTCTTTAAGTTATGAAACCACAAGGTAAGGGAATTGTATTTCCAAATGAAAAGTGGTGTTATTTTCTGAGAAGGTTGATCGGTCCAGCGGGATGGGTCTAGCGGGAGGCTGGACCAGACACTCCCCAGGCCAGCTCAGTTGGCCTCTCATCGCCCACATCCCTCCTCTCATCTGGCCTCGAGTCGCGCCTCGTTTCCGCCTCCCCCATGTCATCCCCAGTCCATTTTGGGCTTGAATTAGTGGTGTTGAAATTAAGGCCAAAAAAGGGCAAGAGTGATTGTTGCAACACGAGAAGGCCCAATATAATTCAAATTATTCAAACCTAGCATATTATAATGCTTTCCATTTTATATGTTTTCATGTTTCATGCCATGCTTCCAAGGTTTTGTAAAAGATCTCTAAAGATCCATCTCTAAAGATCTTTCTCATTCTTTATATGCTTTGTAGTTTTCTTATCATCCATTTCTTGTCATATTTGTCCTTTCGAGCATTTTAAGAATTAGAGCAATTTGTATTCTCCATTAAATGAACTTGTTTTGCGCTTAATATTATTTTCATGTTTTTTATATATTATTGTTTTTGTTTATTTTTCACATATTAAAATTTATTTTATTTTTAATTTTGTGTTCTTACTATTATGTAAAAATATATATTTAATTATTTGGTATTTTGGTAATGTTTTTCTTGATTTAAATCGGATTATTGTGATATTTAATTCTTGCTCTTTCTATTTTTAATAACTTATTTGAAAACTTCTTCTTCAAATTCCCATTGCAAAACTCCTAGAAACCCCAATCGATTCGTAATCGAACCCTACTTGCTAGACCTTGCCAGAGTTAACCGTTTTCTCAAAGTTTGTTAATCTAACCTGAAACGCCCCAAACTAGATCGTTGACTCCCGATTGCTATTTTGACTTAGGGTCAAAGTGATCAAACCATGATTAATTTTGTCAAAATATTCAACTCTAATGAAAAGCTGACCTAAGTAAAATAATCTTTTAAACACTAAGATTCATTACTCATCAACTTAACCCAAAGTAACATACATCTTTTCTCCCCCTATTTGTTATATTGGTCACCTACCCATAATTTCTATTTTAAAAATTTTAATCATTCCTTTCCATTTTGTATTATCTTTATCGGTCTTCTACACATAGATTTAAAAGATACATTTTTAAATAGGTATTTAGAAGAGGAAGTTTATATGATAAAATATTATTTTGGTCTTACTATCAATATGAACCAAGTTGATAGACTCAAGAAAGGAAATGTTAGATCGACTATCTCCACTGACTACCGGTCTGTCTGGGGCAGCCCCAAATTATTTATAATTTGCTTATTTGCAGATTATCCTGATAATTTTATAATCTGCAGTTTGTCCTGATAAACTTATGGGTTGTTTGTGGGACAGTGGGAGCTTATTCAAAAGAAATTATTTGCAGCTATTTTTGGATAAATGATCATTCTGTCCCTGTTAAGTAATGTTGTTTGCAACAGAACTGTCTGAACAATATAATTGATACAACAAAAACAGAAAACTAATACAGAACAATTTTAAAAAATAAGATACAGTCATCACGTAATCCTTGGATACATCCCTATAAGAGAACACAGGGACGTCGACTGAAGTCATGTACAAAATCACGAGAAAAGGTGAAACCTAAACCTGATAAAGGCACATAAAGAACACCAGGGTTATTAGGAGTGCCCCCCTTTATCACAAGGAGATAGTAATATCATGTAAGGAAGGCCGGTCGACCCTTAGGCTGCACTTCTAAACCGGTCCCAACCAATTATGGATGCTTGCTTCCCATTCAGACACGGGAGATGCATCACCCCTTCATAAATGGGAGACACCCTCCTCATATTGAGTAAGTGTATTTTATTCCTAGTTTTACATTTTTCTAGGACCGGTTGTGGCTGTTTTCTACCCCTTAGTTTCCTGTTAATTTGGACCTACCAGTTGGGTTTCTGCAATAAATATTGTTTTTTATTAGCTTATGGGAATAAACAAGTTGTCTTATTCTCTTTTATATTATATATATATATATATATATGTGTGTGTGTGTGTGTGTGTGTGTGTGTGTGTGTGTGTGTGCAAAGAGAGTGAGAGAGATAGAGAGATCATTTCAAAATGTTAGGTATAGCTCATATACCAGATAAGGGACATATGCTGGAGCGGAACAAAGCGAGCCAACGGAGCCGAGCGAGCAAGCGAAGCGAGTGAGTGTAGTGGAGCTCGCGCACGCACTAGAGCGGAAGCATCTGTCTAATCAGGGGAGTTTCGTTATGTGGGTTAGGGGTGCGGGGGCAACACCCCTGCGGTACGGTACAGGGGTTATTTTGTAATTACATATCGTACACCGGGGCTATATATATATATGCGTATTGTAACCCTAAGGGATATTGTGTAATTTGAATTGAAGGAAAAGTCGCCGCTCTGCTCCCGAGGACGTAGGCATCTTTGCCAAACCTCGTTAAATTTTTGTGTTCTTCTTCGTGATTTGCGTTTGTTTGCCCTAAATTTCTCAACACCAATCTTTTACCTTCATCATAAATTTGAATGACTCAAATTTAAAGCAGCTTTTTGTTAATTTTTACTAATTTTTTATATTAACAATTGCTTTTACCTACTTCATATCTTAATTATATAAAATTTATTATGGATGGTCAAAGATGTGGTAGAATTTGTGATTTTATTCTTCTGAATGGGCAATAGCCTCTATCTCTCCTCTCATTATGCATATATCTGTGTCCACGTGTACGGGCAGAACATTTGTGCACTCACATGTATTATCATGCTATTGAGTACTTTCTTATGCAGGCCTATATGAATAGAGGCTGTAATAAGAATGAGGCCAGCCAGCGTAGCAGTTTTAGCTGGAGTGGTCAGCGCAAGTTTCCTTCATATCTGCATAAGTTGGTTTTCCCTCAAGAATTCATGGCAGCTTTACGAACAATAACAATGAAAGAGAAAGAGATTAAAAAGGCTACTTCTCTGCTAGAAGAGGTAAGAAATTGTATAGCTTTTGAGTTGTAGACTTATTGCTGAAGGACTGCTTTTTTTTTTCCTGCCAATGGCACTAATTATAGAAATTTTTTGGGGCATTTACATACATAGCACATAATTCTTATGTATTTACATATCTCACTAAGGATAGATAATATTCGGGGCATTTACATACACAATTCTTATGTATTTACATATCTCACATATAAACTTTCATTTTTACACACAGCACTCAAAACTTTAATATCACATTCAAAATAGTAGGTAAAATATACCTCTTTATGCTTTGGTTTAAAACGACAAAGTGCTATGTATAAGAATAGAGAAAAATAATCCGCCACATTGAAAATCAAATGATATCCCACACAAGGTTTTCCTGTCTTCTATTTTCCTAGTTTCCATAACCATATGGGCCTGAACTCTTTAAACATACTGCGGACATGTTGAGGAAGACATTCGACTTTTTCTGGTAGTTGGTTTTTTTTTTTTTTTTTTGGTCAAAAACAGGACTTCTGTGTTTAACTTGAACTAGTGGCTTCTCTTGCCAACTATATTATGGGTTTTCAATGCGATGGATCCTTTTTCTCTCTTTTCATCCATATTAGGCATTGCATTAAGCATAATTTGTCATAATTCGGCCCGGGGGCTTAGAATCTTCGAGACATGAACAAACGATAAGACGGTGAAAAATGCAAGTTCAAAATTTTATTTCGAACATCCGATAAAATTAGAATTTGTTTTTTTATCGCTCGACCGCCTATTATCATCTTAGAGATTCAGAGTCACCGGGCTGAGTTGTGCCAGAATCATCTTAAAAAAAGCATAATCTTCACATGAATAGAATTGTTGTGTTTGTCCACCATTTTTGCATCCTTTGGAAACATAATATTATTGCTATTCTTCTGCCAGAGTTAAATTTCATTAAAAGTTATGGCGTGAATTTTTAAAGTTTATTTATTTCTTTGTTATTTTTTCCTACAATTGGAATGCTTTGAAATGCTTTTGATCATCATCGAGTTGATTTTTGTTACAATCATTTTCCTCATTTTATATATATAGCTTGTTGGATCAATAGATGAGGGGCAGGCATCAGAAGCAGATGTGAGAGCAGCTGTTTGGGAATCTTGTGGAGATTATGCAGCTCTAGAGCTACTAGTGGATCTTCTTCGCGCCAAGTAATAATTCCTTCTGACACTTGGAAGATTTATGCTTCTTAAATTCTATTTTTAATGTAATTTATTTGATTAGATGTCTATTAAAATTTCTTAAACAATGCTTTTGGATTTGCTCGCCTTACCTTATCTTCTCTCTGTTTTCTTGCATATATTGATTGCTGTTTCTTTTATCTGATTTCTTTATTCCCAATTTGCATTTTCTTAATCATTGAAACAGTTGCATATTTAAATTTTTATGTCTAAGAATAACTCTAATTGAGGCCGTACATAAGAAATATTCTCATTTGGGATTTAATAAAACTTTCATTGCATCATTTCATCATTTTAATTTTTTTTCTTTAGGTGCATAACTTCTACGTAGTAATGAGGTCTGTCCATACTACCAAAATCCTAGATCAAGGCAAACAGCTTAAACCAAATCCTTGATGTTTTAGGGGAGGATGATGCCGAGGATTTGCTGATTTTCCTAAAATCCAAGATCAATTTCTTTGCTTTTTATGTTTGCATTGTACTTTTTACATTCTCTTCTCTTCATTTCTTCTCATCATCATGCTGTTTCTAGTACTCTTCTTCTCTTTTTTTTTATGCTTTTTTCTTCTTTTATCTTCTCTTCTATTCTTTTCTTGTGTATTTTTCCACCCTCTTCTATTCCTCTTCTTATTCTTCTTCTTTACTCTCTTTCCCTTTCTACTAACTCTTTTTATTCTCCATCAATTATTCTTAAACAAATTATTGATTGATGGTGCATAATAGTCATTAAATTCTATTACCATAACTGTAAATTAATGGCTATTATTTTGGATCGACCACACCCTAAATATTGTATTAGTTGGAACTACGTGCACCTGACTCTAACCTGGAGAATGATACTTGTTGCGACTCCAATGATGAGGTTAAGGTGATGCACTCAGTAGGCGTTGGCGGAGCAAGAAAATTTTCGAAGAGGGGACATACAATAATTTTTTTCAAAAATTCTCTCAATATTTTTGATCCATGCTTAGGATCAGCATTGACGGTTTTAAAAAGTTTTTTGTTAAAATATGTTAATATAAAAAGGTTTGATTAAAAATTTTCAAATAATTGAATATAAAATTTAATTAAACGTTTTGGTTAAAAAATTTCCAATAATAAATATAAAATTTGAATAAAGTTGAATGAAAGGGCACGTATTATTTAGTTCAAATATAATTTTTTAATTTAATAAGAGTTTATGTAAATATTTTTTATATTAAATTTAAGAGAATGTATATCCAATTTAGGTGAAAGTAAGGTATATCAAATTTAGGTGAAGGTAAAGCCAACAAAAATTACCAGTGGGAGCGGATGGCGTGGCGCTGTGGGGGCTGTAATAAATATTAAAGTTATAAAATAAAGTTATTTTCGTAAATTTATTCGGGTGTTCTTAATTTTATTAAACCAAATACATGCACAATAATTTATGTTGGCTCCAAATTATTTTTTAAAGTAAGCGTTTATATACTCAGAAACTGAATCTGAAGTAAAAAAAATCACTGTAAATGAAATGGAGGGCTATTTCAATTATTCCTAGTTTTATAAACTCTACAAAGCATTGTTGTTTATTCTTCTCGCATGCTCAGCTGAGCCGTGGGAGCTAAACTCGCGGATGGCAGTAGTCCGAAAGAATGAAGATGTTAAAGTAGGTAGCGATGATTCTATCATCCTATCCAACAACATCAACAATATCTTATAATTGCTGAACAACAACCCTAATGCAGCGAAGATGATGACTCCAACTTGTAAAAAAAGATATTGAATGACGGTGTTAGGTTTTGCAATGGGTGCAAAGAAATGTTATGTAGTATTTGGAATGTGAATAAGTAGAGGAAGGAGAAGAGAATAACCCTCAGTATGTTAAATTGGTAAGAATTTCATCTTTGCAGACTTCTCCATAAGCCCCAAAAAATGCTCAGTAATGCTACTCACAATTCTAGTTATTTTTTTCTTGCTGATAATGTTTATTAGTTAAGCTAATTGATTTCTTTTCTTTTTTTATTTATTTACCTCATCCAACCATTTTGTTCTTGGCTCTCCTTTCCCTTTTGTTTTGAATGCCTGCCTTCAAAAAAAAAAAAAATTGTGGAATTTGTTTTACCCGAATCGACTAGAATTTATGGTGCAAATCTTTTACTTCTGTTGGTGGTTTTGCTAAAGTAGCTTTCCTTGTGCAAGGATGACGGAACTTGAAGAGAGTTCAGGAACTTTAGAGAGTGATTCCAAGCTTCTAGAGGATTTCTACAATTTGGAGCTCGAAGAATACATGAGGTATGCAGTTTGATTCTGCTATAATTGAATAATGTACTTTTTTAAATTTTGATAATATTTCTAATATTAAACATTCAAAGTTGGATGCACCTAAGATATTAGTTGTGTTCTTGATGAAGTTTGATTTTGGTTTTAGTGCTCCCTCACTATGGCCTTCAAATTTTAGATGCATTTTGAAATTTGTAAGTTGGAATAACGGACTAATTTTTTAGTAGATAAATAGCTTAGAATTCATAGAAAATGATTAGATTTTGATAAGCTTAAAAATTATCTTGATATTATTTCTAATAATTGTAATGGATGTGAAAATGATAATTATTAGTCCATATGGCTAGAAGATTAAGTGATACTTAGCTTGCTAAGCTTAAAAATATTTAGTATATTATTCCAAATAATTGGGATATTGATGGTGGAATTTCTGAAGTTAAAGTCGGCTGGTTAAAATGTAGTATTTTTTTAGTACCGCGCCATAAGAAATTATCCTGATTTTAAAAGGAAAATAATTATTAACTTTCAATTAACCTTACTATTATTCTGCATGGATTCTTAGTATTGGGGAATAAAAAAGAAAGCCGCTAATAATTAAGTGGAAGGATTAAGAATATGAAGAAGCATATTACAAAAAAAAATTGAGAAATCTTCAAGCTAAGTCTTACTATTTCTCTTCTTTCTTGGAGATAAAATGAAAATTTTTGCTAAAAAATTCTCTTATGTTAAATTTAGTTGAATTCTTAATTCCACAGGATATACTGATAGCTTTTCCTTTTATGAGTTTCATCATATATGCTGAGGTGCTTGTTCTTTATGAAAAAAGCTAGGGGCTTGCGAGCCAGCTTCAGCTCTACTCGCTAATGAGCCAACGAGTGGAGTATATTGAGCCATAAGCTCGAGTTTGAGCTTAGATATACAAGCTCAAGTTTAGTTTGGGATTGAAAAACCAAATTCGAAATTGCTGATATGTAGAAAAGGTAGCCCTTTTCATTGTAGTTGATCGATGGGTAGGGATGGATCGATAATGGTGGTTTTGTTTGAATTAGGCCTGAAGGACGTTCAATTTTGCTTCTTTTGAATAGATTTAAGAGAGGACTAAAATCCTTGGAAGTATTTGGAAGTTCAATTCTGCTGAGCTTTCTAAGTGGAAGCTAGATTCTTTGCGCTTCGAGTTGCAGAAATTAGGATTATTTTGCATGCACATATGAAATGAAAATTTTTTGTCAGGCTAATGCTGTTGTTAACATGAAAGTCTTAAATGACTCTTGCGGATGGTATATGGGGTGATTGGAGTCAAGGGCTCGAATTTTCTCCACCCTTTGGTATTGATGTTTAATAGGATTTCTATAAAAAGCTTTTTCACTAGAAGTGGTTTCACTTATTTCCAGAGTCTAAGAGTGTCAATTCAGTCCTCCACGGACTCTTTTAATAAGGGCTACTAGAGCATACTATTGCATAAATATTGAAGAAAAAGTGCATAACTCGCGATTACTTGTAACTTTTATAATCAACCATAGTTATTGTAGCATCGACTACAATTTTTGTAGCCCAACTACGGCTGGCGTAGCCTCTAATTATGACTTTTATAGCAAACTAC